TTGCTGGCTGGGGAATTCTGGGAGTTGAAGTCCACCCATCTTAAAGCTTGCTGGCTGGGGAATTCTGGGAGTTGAAGTCCACCCATCTTAAAGCATGCTGGCTGGGAAATTCTGGGAGCTGAAGCCCACCCATCTTAAAGTTGCCAAGGTTGAGAAACACTGAGTTAAATGGATAAACCCACAACCAGCTATGCTAATTGATAAACCAGAGTTTATCAACCACAGTGGCTGGTTTCACCTACTGCACGAAACCCACAATCAAACAAGCAAGGGGTACTGTATTGCCTGCCTTCCACACCCCATAATATGTGCTTAGGAAAAAGCAATACAGTAGTAAGGCTAGAAAAGCATCAGAGACCCCAGTGGGCTGTCTCCGGGCTGGGAGAAAGCCCTGGTCCTCCAGAACTGCCCAATTACAGCTCCCAGCACCCCTTGCAGGGCACATGGAGAAAGATGCTGGGTGTTGTAGTTCAGCAACAGCTGGAGCAGCATTGCTCAACCTCAGCAGCTTTAAGATGTGTGGACTTCAGCTCCCAGAATTCCTAGGAAGCAGCAGTGCTGGCTGGGAAATTCTAGGAACTGTATTCCCAACCTTACTTCGGTATCTTCCAGACAGGCTGGACTTCACTCCCAGAATTCCTGGCTAGAAGCAGTGCTGGCTGGGAAATTCTGGGAACTGTATTCCCAATCCTAATTTGGTACCTTCCAGTTAGGCTGGACTTCAACTCCCAGAATTCCTGGCTAGAAGCAGTGGTGGCTGGGAAATTCTGGGAACTCTCTATCCCCAACCTGATGCCCTCCAAATGGGCTGGGACTGCAATTCCCAGCACTGTCTGGGAAATACCAGGAATGAAGCCGGTTCCAGGTTGGGGAAGGCTAAATTGCGTGGGTCAACACACAAGGACTCCCAACAAAGCTGTTCGGAGGGCCCAGCCCCTCCGTAGGAACAAAGGAGCAGGCATTTGCTTCCCCGGCTGAAACTGGAGAAGCACCACCCTGCGCCGGCCCGGTTGCTGGGCCTCCCAGGCGCCCCCTTGTTCTGTCCCCCTCTCTCCTGCAAAGCAGAGATGAAAACCAAGCCAAGCCAGCAGGCTGCAAGTTTTGGCTTGCAAGGCCTCAAGAGAAACTCGGGGCTGGGGAAGACAAATGGATGAATCGGCGCTGGTTTCCCAGCACACACCCTTTTCCATCCAGGGTCTGCCGCGGAGGGCAGGGGAGCAGCCAGCTGAGGCAGCCAGGACTGCCTTCCCAGGAGGCGGTGAGAGGGATCGCGGCCGCCGAATCAAAGGAGAGGAGGCCAAGAGGCCAAGGATGGCCCTTTGCAACCTGCTTTGTGAACAAGAGGCCAGAGCTGTATCTGAGCAGGGGGCAAAGCTCAGCTGGGTTTCCTAGTCGTGGCAGCTCCACAGGGCCGGCCTTAGCTCTGCGTTGGGCGAGAAAACGCCCAGACGCCCCAGAGGATGGGGTTGATTTTCCCCCTTCAAAATCCTTTTTTTTTTTTTAAAGCACTCACCTAACAAAACTAGATCTTAAACAGAGAGCAGTGCCCATCCATGTGCGTCATCTATGCGGTTTTCTCAGCTAAACTTCTGGGAGGGTCAAACTCAGGCTCAGAGGTGGTTTCTTTAGCGTTCAGGAATGCTGGGTAAACCCAAGGCACTTGGTTAATTCAGATAACCATGATCCCGTTAACCATAGATCCTGTGAGCACAGCAGAAGGTGCCACTCTGAACACAGGATCTTGGGGACAACCACAAGCAAGATCAGATGGTGACCCTAATTCATCTCCAGTTCCCTGCCTGAGTCCTTTGCAGGCAAATCGGCCTTACGGGATTGTTGTGAGATTAATTCCACGTTTGCAGCAGTGACCACGTTCTTTAGAGCAACGTTTCTCAACCTTGGCAACTTTAAGACGGGTGGACTCCAATTCCCAGAACTCCCCAGCCAGCATGACTGTATACTTGGTTAAAGGTAAGCTATTCCTCTTAGATTCACACACACTAAGCCATAATCTGGTTTGCTTGGGTCTGGTTAGTCGTCATGTGCCTCACTGAAGCTTGCACACCATGGCTTTGTAGTGAACCTAGACAGGCGTTGCTTATTGAAACAAACTCAGTTAAGCAAACCAAGGTTGCAATGTACGAAATCAGCACCCACATGAGATAAAAATACTGTTCATTTTGAAACAGGGTTGAGTACAATGCAACTGCTAAAAACCTGAGGCCCAGTTCGAGCTGCAGCTATGGTTTAGTCATCAAACCATGGTTAAGTAAATCTCAGCATAGTATAAAACAAACCACAGTGTCCTATGTTCAAGGACTGTCAGCTAGACTGGGAAATTGAAGAAAACATCTGGGAGTATCTTTATGTCAACCCAACTAGGTAGCAGCCCCTACCTAACCTTAGCTAATCTTGAAAACCTAAGTGGAGTCCAACCTCATTACTAGTTGGATAGGAGACCACCTGGAACACCCACAACTGCACAAAGAGATCAAGATTTTGGAAAACATCCCAGAGGAAAACAAAGGCAAGTATACTTTTGCTAAGAGAAATCTCCTGGGACATTTTCCCAAAGTCGCCAGGAATCAAACTCAGTTGAAAAATACTTTACTTCTGATCTTTGAATTAAATGGGAGTTGTTCATTCAGTTAGGTATGATGAACTCACGCTAAACTCTGCACCCAAAAGCAAACCTTCTCATCTGTTCATACCGAGTTACTCTCTGGAGATTAGAAAGTGCTGGCGGCCAAAGTGTTAGGAGCTAATTACTCCCTGTGTTGTAAAAAGTGTTATGTGTTGCAATCCCACCTGATTACTATCTGGGTATTAAAAATGCCAGCGTTAAGCGGGCAACCATAAGCTCGTTCTTCCCCACTGACTGGCTGGCTAACTTGGCCCATGCCAGGAAAAGGAGACTATTTCAAGCTAGAACAGCAGCGCCCTTAGCCACGGAGAAGACGCACTTCAAAAAATGGGGGGAAGGTAAGAAACCATTTTCCCCCCTGCCAAAAATGCCATCAGTTCTAGAGCAGAGTCAAACATCCACACCCCGTGGCTGCCTTTCTACTGCTGGCAAAATGACACTTGGTTCAAGGACTCAGGGACTGTGCTCACACAACCCGCTGGCGATTGACTTAGCCCATCTTCTGGTTCACATATTAGGCTGAACCTGAACCTAACCGACTGGGTTTTGTTGGTGAAATGTGCTAAGCCCCCCAACCTCACCCGGGTGAATGCCAACCAAGCCGAGCGCATTTTGCAAATGCACCAGCTACGTCTTCAGAGGACCTCTTTAAATACAGATTTTGCAGATCTGGGCTGTGAAAAATACAGAGGACCAAGAGGTAGCCACAAAGAGAGAGACACGACGTTAATTCTTGGCTGTCCTCTAGCGGTCCTCCAGATGTTTGCAACTCAGATCCAAGAGTCTTAATTCTGCATATGGGTGATCCCCAGCAAAGAAAACCCCCACTGTGCCCCCCAAACCTGAAAAATCCTGGCCATCTAGTTATACCCTGACTTTCTCTAAGACGTTCAAGGTGATTTTACAGGTTACTTTATTTTTACGAAGTAGGTTGGACGAAGAGATGTGAATAGCCCAGAATGACCCACCAAACTCCTTGGTCAAATAGGGGCTTGAAAAATCTTCTCCCCAGGCCCACTCCAGCCTCCTACCCCACCTCAGTCAAGATCTTTAATCCCTGTTGCCATCTGGAGTACCTAAATCTCTTTAGATGAGCACCGAGATGCCTCTGAGATTAAGCAGACTGGCAATCTTTCCAGGGTCTGGGCACCCCTGGATCATTTTGCAAATGCTGCGGGCATGGCCTGCAGAAAGAAAGGATCAGAAAGTGCCTCTGGATTAAGCCCAAGAACAACCCAAAAGTGAAAGTGCGCCTTCTCGCTTGCATCCCCAAGGTAGACTTCCTCCGATGCTGGAGGCTCTGCAAAGCCTCCTGATTAGGAGCTATTGGCAACCTTACCTTACCCTCCAGGTAACACAGGTCCCTCTTCAATCTCCCGGATGACACAAATGGTGACTTCCTTCCAGATGATGATTTGTTCTGGTCTGCCAAAGTTCTAAGCAGATTCCCAGAAAGCCACAGGATCAACCAGAACCTGGCTATCGGAAAGGGAGCGGGAGGTGAATGGTGCTAAACGATATTGCACCTCTTTTGGTAAGACGTGTCCCTGGGCATTCCCCTGCCGTGGCTTCTGGGGGAGAAAAAACGGTTGCGTTGCGAAAGGTGAAGGAAGAAGGAGACGAATCCGGATAGCAGCGGTTGGCCCTGAAAACTTTTTGCATTATGCAAGCCGAGACTTTCTAGCTGCGGCGGCCAGGCTGGGTATTACAGCCACACCTCAGCCACACCTTGGCCGTTGCCCAAAACCCAACAATCCTTTAAGCCAGCAAAATGCAAAAGGCTGGATCAAACACCCCCGCCGGATTTCAGACTGGCAGCTGCAGCAAGGAAGGTAACCCTTAATTCCAAGGTGCCATCGGGACTTCCTTGTGTTAATTTCCTGCCTTTTGATTCTGCTCTTTACAGAAATGCCTCCTGTTTGCCATTTGGCTTTTACAGCACCGGGGCTGGCAGGAGAAGCTTCCGGCGGCAGATTAGGAAACTTGTGATCTGCTGCTTGAGAGATTTACCACCTGTCTGATGGGTGGGCCGGCTCCAAACCAACCAAAGGGCTTGCTATGTCACCAGACTTAACCTCCGACTCTTATCTTCGCAAAGGTCCTGGGAGGAAGCACTCTGCGACGGAAGAAAAGGATCTTCCCCTTCAAAACTTTCTGCCAAGGTTATATTCAACCCAGGCAGGCTCAACCATGGGAGCAAAGATGCTGCCACCCTCATTGTGGGGGTGGGCACAAACATAGCACTACAGAGAAGGGTTTAAGCATTGGCTCCCCACCAAATGCCTTTCCCTTCCAGCACTGAGATAAAAACTATTTTTCTAGCTTGGTTCATGGACCCCACAGTTGAACCAAGAACAGTCAGGACAAAGAACCTAGTTTTCTGTTGTTGTTTTTTAAGTCTACAATTAACACTCTACCTACTACTCTACACTACCAAGACTGGCATCCTCCAGATATCTTAAATTCTCATCCTACCCGACCTGCATGGCAGTCCATAATGCTGCTGGAAACAGTTATTCAGCCTGGTTCCTGAATGAACCCATTTTCTGTATTCGCATGATATGCAGAGCATTAATTACCCCCCAATGGGCTGGGTTCACATGTTGCACTAGGCCACCCAAAAAACAACCCCCCTCCCCAACCGAACCCAAGTTAATGTTAACGAAGCTCATCACGCGGTGCAAATACATTTTCTAGGTCTTAACCTGCCTTGGTTAGGGGTGTTGCCTAAACACAATCCTTCTTTAAGTAAAGTTACAAAGCTGGCTGCTTTGAGCTCATCTGCAGAAGAGAAAGAAACAGGACTTTTCCTGCAAGTCACGTGCCCGTCTATTTTAACCAACGTCAGGTTATTTCCGACAGGCTGTTGCATCCCCAAATCCAGAAGGTACATTGCTAAACAGCTGAGATTAAAAAAACAAAACAAAAACCCAAGTTCCAAACGGTAATTGCATGCAGACTTCCTCCATCGCTGGAGTTAGGGCTGACTTCAAGCACAGCTAGGACTGGAATACTGGAAAGGCGCTGAAAAAAATTGACCCAAATCATCCAGTCATTTTTTAAAAATGCCTGGCAGAAGGTTTGTGTTCACCCTCCCTGCACACAAACACACACACGCGCACACACACCTTTCTCTTTTTAAAGTTTAAGAGTTCCCAGATTATTTCACTTTTATCGAAAACTTGGCAAGGGGCTGCCTGCCAGATGCTGCTGTCTCCCTTCCCCCCTTGCTTGGAGTCAGGAGAGACCGGGAAGCAAATGCACAAGGCCTATTTGTCTTAAAACCTCTCCTGGACTCCCTCCTCCTGCTGGCTTTGCAACCCACTTAAGGAGGAGGAGGAGGAGGAGGAGGAAAGCCAACAGACCAGCTAAGGGAGAGAGGGAAAAGTCTCCTGGAAAAACATCTGGTGTCAGAGAACCACCACCGAGCAGCGTGGAGACCTTTCGAAACTAGCCAACGGGGTTCCGAGGTGGAATCTGCGGCTGCAAACCAGGGTTATTTTACTGCATTCATCTCACCGTTGTTATTCTGCAGCTAAGCGTGCCCAACAGGGTTAACTGAACCAGGTTTAACTCCTTGGATCTCATTTCCCGAGCTCCCGTGACATCCTGGGCCATAGACGCATCCCGCTGCCCGGGCGAGCCTAATACGCCGGCCAAAACGCGGTTGACTTGTTTGGGGTTCAGCGCTGGCCACTTTTACCCCATCGCGTTTTCTGTTTCTTCTGTGGTTGTTTTTAATGGGATGTTTGGGAACGAGAAGGGGGAGATTTCAACATCAGCACCATCCAGTTCCAATCGTTCCACCAGATCCGATCTGCACGGGGCACTTTTACACTCTGACCCAGGATGGCCAATTGGCTTGGACATTTTCCCCGGCTACATGATACAGGGTTTCTTAGATGATACAGGGTTTCTCAGAGCGCATTCTGTGAGCCTTGCCCCTGTGGTTTATAAACCATGGTTTATGGTTAAGTGTTACAGATTAAGCCACCGGGGATATTTCCTTGTTCTTATTCTGCATTTTCCTCGCTAGGTTTTCAACGAGGAGCAGAGAAGAGGAGAAGGTGGAGGCTTTCAACTGCAATGGCCAGGCGCATACAAAATCTTCAGCCAAAACCAAACCGTTCCTGCCAACAGCTGTGTTCTCCCATTTAACCCAGCCATAGGATGAATTCATGATCTGGGTTCACACGAAACCTATAGGATGGGATTCATACAATACGCCTGGCTAGGAAAAATATTAATCAAGTTTAAAGCTAACCAAGTTTATCAGGAAGAGCAAATGTGGTTGCTAAATTTTTAACTGACTTGCTCAAGGGTATCGTGTGTTCTCAGCTGATCATCTTTGCCACTGTCATCATTTTCCCAACAGGCCAAGGAGAAAAGTTTGGCTCAGAAGTGAAAGAAGGCTGAATGTTAGTTTGGAGAGAAAATTGGGGTGCAATTTGGGAGGGGGTACCCTGTTCCCTCTTGACTAAGAACTGGCTATGTTTGCAACCCACGTAAAGGAGCAGGTGAGCTATTCCCCATCCAGTCCCCTTGGAACATGTTGAGCCGGGATTGCAACTTGCAAGGTTTCCACTCAACATAGCCACAGCGACGTTGGAGGCTGAGCTTTGCTGGAAATGCCAAGGACTCCACAGAAGACTTTCCGCAGGGAGTAAAGCAGGTGCCTTTCAACCAAGCCAAAGTCTGTCTCTTCCAGGCCTTGATGTTAACAAACTCTCCAGGGCTCTGTTTTGTCACCACTAACCAGCTTTGTCCATTGCCCAAAACCAAGATCTGCTTAACCATGACATCGAAACCCCATGCGAATCCAGAAACCACGCTGTGCAAACCACCATGGCCAAAACCAGATCAGTTAGGCTTTAATGATAAGTCACCACCACGCATGACTGTGTTTGCCGGTCAAACAACATATTTCCTTCTCTGACAAAGCAGAGGTCGGTCTTCCCTGATTGGCGTGGAGGACATCAACAATTTTCCTTGCTCATTCCTACGAGTGGTGCAAAATTGTCCGTTGCCCACATCGTATCACAGCTCCGCTCTCTGAACCCCGTCCCCAAAGGTGAAGTTCAACCCTTAGCCACCAGCAGGTTGGCCTCAGAAGAACTGGAAGAGAGCAGCTATGTTGAAAATCCACAATTAAAGCTTTTTTTCTTAGCTTTTGCTTACATATTTCCAGCAACACCTAAAACACCCCCAACAACTGAAGCTATGATATTAGTTTAGGTCAGTGTTTCTCAACTTTGGGAACTTTTAGAAGGGGGGGGGTGCTACCATCCAACTCCAAACCACCCACCACCCCCCCCCCCCGGGAGCGGGCTGGTCGCGTGGACGACCGACAC